GTAATAACAACACCTGTATGTACTGGGCAAAAACCTTTAGAGAAGAAAACAAATTATTTATTTTTGAGTAACAGAATAATTTGTTGCAATTTTTCCTTACCTCACAATTGATTTTTAAATTGTTCTCTAAATAGAAAGAGATTACTGATGTGTGTAAAATTTAAAGGGTTTCTTTGTTAGAATTGCTGCACGTCTAGGGAGTTTAAATATGAGAGTTTTTAGTAGTGCTAATACAGGTTGGATGCAGCATCTTCCTTTAAATCTTGTTCATAGTGGCCATATCTGCCTGCTTTCATCAACTGCCTTACTAAATTGTGTACCAGAAAGGGTCATTTCATTTTTCAAAAGCCACGTTGGACTGTTTTCTCAATCAAAGTGTATTTTCCTCAGTGATAAGACTGAGCCACTTAAGCTACAATGGCAATGTACCTTCGGGTGATTGCTTGTTTTAAAACTATGGAAACAGATTTTTCGTCAAGCAGAATTAAACTGGATACATTTCAAATAGATGAGATGAGGTTTGTTCAGCCAATCCTGCAGGGTTAGTAATAGGGGAGAAATGTATTTAGGTTTTCACAGACTCACAGAATATAGGAGTATTCATGAAAATATTTTTCGTAAAAATCCTGTTTACATCCCTACTTAAAAGTAAATATGCTTTAAAAAGAAAAAAGGAAGTTTTTCTTCTTTGAGTAAGGATCAATTTTCAGACCAATGTTTGCTTTTGAAAGACATGATTTATATCATGAAATAATGGGGACATTTAGCAGCAGTTCTGATTGAATGACTTCTTTTTAATATGAATATAAGAATATTGGTAGTATTTGTTATATGGATTACATAAAGTTTATAAAACTTGTTTTTATAAACAAGTTGTTTTACTTAGAATATTTAATGTTTAAGTATTTTCATAAGACCCATTCATCTTATGAAAAAGAAAGTTTCCATAAGACTAATCTCAGAAAGCAAAATTTGAAACAATAATTGATGGCATAAAGTTTTTTGAAATGCTGAGAACTTCTTGGGATGGAGCTGGAGTGTTGTGCAAGGTTTTTGACTGCTAAGTGTTCCTTCCCCTTCCAAATCTGGCAATGTCTTATATGTATATTTACAGAAATGAGTAAAGGTAAGCCAACATGCAAAGGGCAAAAGTCACTTTCTTTGTTTGCTGGTCTATAGAAAGGAAAGTGGAACTGTGGTGTTCCTTAAAATCAAGAAAGTGAAATTTCTTCTGGAATATTCTTTGAGACATATTTTGTGATCTTTTTGTTCTTTCCTTTAAGAATATTTTACAAGCTATATACATTAAGAATATGAATCACTTAGTAATGTTTTTTTCTTAGAGTGTAGTATAATGGAAAGAGCAGAGTCAATGAGAAGACCTGGTTTCCACTTTAAGTACAGCCACTTACCTTGTCCTGTGACTTACACAGGTGAATTAACCTTGCCATATGTTGGCCTTGCTGCCTCTCTCTGTAAAATAAGAGGTTGAACTAGGAATCTTTCGAGTTATACTCATCTCTAAAATTTCATTCAGTCTAGTCATGATGCTCTTAATTAGGTCTTCTCATGATTATTTAACAAAGCATTAATTTTACCAGACTTTTACATCATGTGGCCATGTATCCCAGTTGGCTTAGATAGTCCTTGTGTGTACCTGGAGTTCTGGTGAAATTATTAATATTATCCCTTTTGACTCTCAAAAGCATCCCATTTTGGTCTATAAGTTATATTGCACTCTACTTTTAGAGCACTCATAAAATTTACTTCTGCGAGAAAATCATACTTCACAAGAATAATGAATATTAAGCCTTATCCTTCACATTCAGAGCAGAAAGTGACTCTGGTATCCTTCCTTAGTTTTTAGAATCCATAGCCTTTTTCATCTTCTTTTCATGTCATTTCAAATATCGTTAGAAAAGTGAGAAAATGAGGCTTTGAGAGATTCTGTTTTTTAACCGGAGGGACTATGGTTTACAACTCTTGGGAAGAAATTAAATTATAAAGAGAGGTAGAATCAGTAAATATGAGGGGAATATATTGGAGCAGTTCTATGGCTCCAGGTAGGAGGCATTTTTTTCAGGGTAGAGTAAGCAAGCCTACTCAAGGAAAGGAACTATTGATAATTTAAAAACATTAGTGGTAGATTGTCAGAGACATGTGTATTTCACATATGAGACATCCTATTAAAGTCAATGGCATTTGATTCCCAGTGGGGTTTTTTGAAAAGAAGCCTAATTAGTGTTCGAGCAAGAAAAGAGTATTTGAATATATTGGACACTGCTGTTTCTTGCTGGAGGCTTTGGGGGTGCTCAT